CACACACACACACACACACACACACACACACACACACACAGTGTTGAATATTCTGGATTGATATCATATATATATGTTTCTGATGGAGACATATTTCATATAATTAATATATGTATGTGTATTACTATAGCTTCTTTTATTATCTGTTTACATACATCAGCCTCCACTGCTTACAACTACAATATAGCCTGTTATAAACCATTTATTCAATGTTTATGTCGTGCTTATAAAGCTAAAAATAGGGGCTTGAAGACTAACTTCTAATTTGTCAACCTGGACCCTATATTCCCATGTTTTTGTGTCTAAGTGACTAATGTGGACAACATTAGGTCGTTTCTATCATGTTGTCAGACACTTATGATGACAATCAGAGCCTATCAGTGGTAGAAACAAGCACTTAACATGACATCGCAGCCGTGTTTACTGCAACAATTTCAAAAATCGTTGTCCTTATTAGTCACTTAGACACAAAAACATGAGAAAATGGCTAAAAAACACTGAACTTGGCATTTAAAGTAAAGTGTTACATTTGGGTGACATTACCCTTAAAAGCCCAAAACTCAGGCTGTATTAATGCATTCAAATATATATATATATATATATATATATATATATATATAAAAAAGGTACTGCGCTCATTGTTTTCCTGTCCTTCAGGAGCATATCAAGGATTATTCCAGTGGTTCAAAATAATAGCCAATAAAAAGTCTAAATTCATCGGTATAGATTTGCCAAAACCAGAATCTATATTTTCATTGCAGATTTTCCACCATTGTTACGGTCCTCATGAGCCAAAGGATTAATGTGGTTACTATTGTTATAGCGACCGGTTGGGCAGGCCTATATACTGTATGTTTAACTCCATACAGAAAAACAAAATACCTGAGCTTATTATCATCTTTACAAACAATCCTAAAGGTCACTGACCTTGAAGTGTATGTGCTGCAGCAGTCTGAAGGCCTGAGCGTAGAGGCGAAGGTACAGCAGCACCTCAGAGTGGTGCATGTTGTTGGGGAGCTCAGCTGGAGCCGGGAAGTCGCTGAGAGACATCATCTCTTTGGAGCTGTTGATGACCACCGACTGATAGATGTTGGCACGTCCAGGCTCTGGCTCCTCCTGCAGAGGAACAATATAAACTTGACTTGAAATGATCATAAATAAAAATGATAAACAGTTATTTACCATATTGTGTGATACTGTATAAGCAAACCAATCTTCCAAAGAGAGTGGTAGCTGTTGAAAATGCCATTAAAGGGTCAAACTCCCGAATACATTGTGAGTCCTCTCAGTAACTGTGAATGACAGCTCTGGTGTTTGTTTTTCTTTCAGCATCAATACGTTTAACGTCATGAGATCCAAATGGTATAAAAGCGTTCTTGCTCACCTTGAATCTCCACAGACCTCCAATTTCATGGCTGCTCTCAAAGCAGGTGGGCTCCAGACCTTCGTCCAAACAGGCCTTGATGCTGATCAGACCACAAACCCCAGCGCCGATCACTGCCACCTTCTGAACCATGCTGGAGAGGAACAACGTCCGACAGCAACGGGAACGCTGATGCGTTAAAGAGGTCGGAGACAGAAGAAACGTGTGTGCTGCTTTGCAGTGTGATTTGAAAGCAGCTTTATGTTGAGTGTCTTTCACACCCCATCGGGTTAAATTTGCATGATGATGACTGATGACCTTTCAAGTTGCTTGAGCCAATCAAGGACAGTGGGATTAGTTTGAGTATGAGACAGAGAAGTACTAGACAAGATTAAAGAGTCATCTTCTTTTAAAAGAACAATGGCTCGATCAATAATCTTTTTTCTGCCCAGAAAAAAATGTGTAGTGTAAATTTAATCCACCTTTTTCAGAGAGGAAGATTTACACAGGTGTAACAAATACCAGAAGTTCATGTCAATCATTGACGTTATTACTCCCTCCTGTGATTTGTCTGCTAAGAAAATAAAACAGAGAAAAGAACAAAATGTCTGCTGGGAAACAGAAGTTCTCTCGTGTTGCGATGCTATCAAGATTCAAGTTAGAAAGAGTTATTCAGGAGGTGTGATGACCTCTGCCCTTCCCTGCCAATCTGTCGTTTGTTTACCTGTTTCTGAGATAGGGATCATTAGTGCGGAATGGGAACACCTGGGCCCAGTGGTCCCAGTCTATAAAGCGCTGGCTGAGACTAACAAAGGCTATGGCCCAATCCCCACACTCGTGGACTTTGAGGCGTGCTCCAGCAACGTCCGTGAGGGTTTAGGACTGTCCCACTGTCAAATCATCTAGTGGTTGAGGGCTCTCTCGCAGACATTTTGAGCCCTTTATGAACCCTTTCCGTAAGTCAACATTAGATGCAGACTTTGTATTTCAATTGTACCTATTATATATTGTGTTAGACATACGCGCTGGTCGTTGCAGTATTCTCCAAGACTTCTCCCCTCCGACACTCCGTCACCGTCGTTCACTCTTGTCTCACAAACACACACGCGAGCGAGATCGTCTCGTTACAGGATCAAACGTGACTGTTACGAAGTGGAGCTTCTAGTGAGGAACAAGACACGTCTTGTTTGAACGGAACACTTTACTGTCTGAACTGCAGTATTACAACAGTGTCACAGTGAACAGAACGCGCTCTTGCACCAACATGTGGTTTTCTATGTTTCATCAACATTGTTAGCGAACACAGGGGGGAAGTGACGCCACACAAACACAGAAGTTCACTGCTTGCTGCCTGGTGTTAAACATGTCGCTTAAAAATAAAAATAAACAAAACTGCGTTAACGCGTGATAATATAATTGTCGGCGTTAATTAATTAATGCCCAGCATATATATATAAATAAATATATATATATAAATAAATATATATATAAATATATATATAAATATAAATATATATATATAT